GGGAGAAGATGGAGAAAGGGGTCTTGGTGAAAGGAGCGCTTGGGGAAGAATGGGAGAGGGGTCCAGGCTGAGGGGTTGCTTGAGGCGCCAGATCATGAGTGAAGGTCCCAAGGGGGAGACCACCCCGCGGTTTGTTTCCTCTGGCTGAGCTGGGTGTAGGGTGACGTGGGGCGGATGGCAGCAGCGCTGCGGGAACAGAGCGCCGGGTGGGTGTGATAGACTGTCTGGGGGGTAGCGGGAGCTGTGCGGGCAGCACAGCTGCAGGGGTTCGGGTACCCCAGCGATGGCAACACCAGTTAGGGGTGGACATGACATCGCCGTGGCCCCATGAGACTGTGGGGGGAGACGGGAGATGTGCCGAGCTTGCTGAGGTTGCAGAGTGGAAAGTGGGAACTGGAGGGATGGCGCAGAAGATGTGGGTCCATGAGTGAAAACCATGGATCCTCTTTGCAGCCTGAAGCTGGAATGTGAGAAGCTGGTGAGTGAGAAGACAGAGATGCAGAGACATTATGTCATGGTGAGCTACCCTTGCCCTGTCCCCCCTGCCTCCCCCAAAGCATCCCTGACTGCCACCCTCCAGTCAGGTCCCGGGCTCTGGGGCTCCGCTCAGCCACTCACCCAAACAGGCCAGCGGCCTCCCCGAGCCACCCCTGCCAGCGGCGTGCCTGGCCTGGGTCTGGCCTGAGTGCTGGGGCTGGGGGGTGCATGAGTTAGGAAGGAGTTCGTCATTCCTAGCAATGCTGGTTCTTCTACTGATGTCTGCTGCCACTCCGTGCTGCTTGAGCCCAGGAATCGCGCCATAGGTTTTATCTCTTTAATTTTTTTTCATTTTTCTGTTTGGCCTTTTAAGACATCTTCCCTCTCCTCACTGTCTTTCTCCCAAGCAGGGGGTGTCTCGGAAGTGATCCCCCAAGGTTGGTGTTTTGGGTGGAAGGGGAAGCTGCCTTTAGAAGGAGCAAGGCAGGAGCTCTCCACAGTTGCCAGTGGGGGATTGACAGGCCCTGACATTGACTCACCCCAGGCACCAGCCAGAGCCTGGCAGCCCTCGCAGGAGGCAGGGTAGCTACTGGAAGGAAGGGAAGAGGGTGGGAACTGCAGATCAGGAGCAGTATTGCCTCTCCTTCAGCGTCTGACATTACTGGCCCTTCTAGGGAAAGGGGAAACCAAGATTATGCCATCTGAAAGGCAAACAGACCTAAACTTGGGTAACCCCCATCCCCTGGGTGATGACAGCCTTGTCCGTGAGACCAGGGCTGTACTAGGTGTTATTGACATCCCAGGGCATATTCCTGTCGCCCACCAACTGGGATCCCTTCCAGCATTCTGGAGGCTCAGGGATTCCCAGAGGTGGGCTGCCGCCTTTGAAATGGGCTTTGCTGGAGGAAGGCAGGTCCTCTGGTCCCCCCTTCTCGCCGTCCTCAGGGGCGAGGGAATGGGGTCTGCTGCTGTCACCACTGCCAGAGTCACTAGTGACTGGTGAAAGGCGTAACCCGATGTCATCTTTGCTTTTGCACAGGCATGGCCACCCAAGTGACTAGATGAGCAGCTGCATCAGGGAGTGGGTCTGGGTTAGGAGTGGGAAGGGACCGGCCAGGATAGGAGGGGATGTGGGGAGCAATGAGGCTGGCTTACACTGACTTAAACTAATGCAGAAATTGCAGTGTAATCATCACAGGTGTTAAACAGTCCACACTGTGGCTGCTCCCTACCTTGCCCCAGGCTTGTGGCATGGGCCCTCGGCCCGTGGTGTGCTGGTCAGCTGTTTCTCGTGGGCTGAGGGGAGCAGGGACCCTCAGCAGCAGCAGTGGCATTCAGCTGGGGGGAGTAGGGGCGGGCTGGCTGCCAAGCCCCTGGCTGGTAACAGGCTAGTTGCTCTGAGCAGCTCCTAACCAGGCTGTGTTCTGTTTTTGCTCTCAGTACTATGAGATGTCCTACGGGCTGAACATTGAAATGCACAAGCAGGTAAGTGAGGTGGGGTCCAGGCCAGCAGCAGGGGATGGTGGGGAGGAGGCCAAGGATGGACAGTTTGTTGGAAAATGATCTGCCCTGTCCCCGTGTAGCTGTAATGGCAGGGTAGATGTAGCATGGCTCTGTGTGAGGGACTGGCCTGCAGAGGGATTCAGCAGTTGTCAGGGTGTGCGCTGCCGAGTTCTGGTAGGTGCCTTGGGACGGGGCCTCCTTCCTGCCATCCCAAAGCATCTCTCGGAGCCTGGCCATGAGCCCTGCGCACGTACCTCCCTGCAGCAGTTCCCTGGGGCCCCAGACGCAGGAGAGAGTGTGGAGGAAACAGCAGGAACTGGAGTCCAGAGGCAAATAGGTTGCCTTTCTTTTATTTTCTTTTTTCTTAATCCCCTTTTCCTTTCCTGAAGCCAGAGGAGTGTTTTCACCCTTCCCTGGTTCCTCTTTTGTTCCAGCGTTAATTTGCTTTCCCTCTTCAGATTTATCAATCTAGTCATCACGGGCTCTGTGCCAGGGAAATTAGTTTGGACCAATGCCTGACAAAGTGGCAAGTCAACTGCCATATTCCTCCAGCTGGCTCAGCCCCTCTCAGTTTGCTCCTTTTGTTAGCAGGGAGAGTTGTCGTAGAGCCCGTGAGCATACTCCTACCATCCCCACATGCTCCGAGCTCCGATGGGACTGGGACCCAGAGGTGGCCTGAGCCATGCGGGGCCGGGGACTCTGCCCGCAGGGTGGCAGAGGCAACGGCCAAGTGCTTGAGGAGGGGGACCCCTGGCCCACCTGGGTCCAGCTCCTGGCTCTGCGTGGGCAGGAGCGGTCTGGAGCAGTTAAGGTGTATGCCTGCGTGGATGCCAGGGCAGGGGCTGACACAGCAGCCGGCACCTGCGGGTTACCGGGATGCTGGTGGGCACAGAAGTGTTCCTGGGGCACAGGCAGCATTTGAGTGCAGAGGGTGAATGTTCCCTTTGTTCTTTGCCGGCTTTGTGCGTGGTTTGACCTCTCTGCAATGCTGTCAGGGATTGTCGGAAACCTGAGATGAGAAAACACTTCAGAGCAGCCAGTCCCTCTGCCAGTGCCGGGGTGGATTCGCAGCGGGTGGGGAGATCAAGTTTTCCCCAGGAGGCATGGGTTTTCTTCTGGAGAGGCTGGGGATGTAGCCGCCGCCCCCTCCCTTGCCGCTTACCCCCGTGGGGCTGCGGCTGGGCCGTGGGTCTGTCCATAACCGCAGGCTGAGGAGAGGACGCACCAGGTCCTCTGCATTTCCTCATTGCTGCGTGCTGGACAGGGGACAGGTATGGGGGTGCTCTGTGCCTCTGCTTCCCCGCTGGAAGGAGCAGGCAGAGCTGCTGGCTGGCCCGGGGCTTCGGCAGGAGTAGGAGCGGGGCCGGGGGCCCCTGCTCCAGCTGGGGCAGGGAGGGCAGAGCAGGTACCACCGTTGGTGCCTTGCAAGGCTTTGCTGGCAGGATGCAGCGGAGGCTGAATTCATTGGTGTGAATTTTGCGTCCCCCTTACTCTCCCCCTGGCTTCATGTCTGATGTTCAGGGAGAGAGCAAGCAGCATGCTGATGGCCCGCTGCCAGTGCTTGTGGCTCAGCTCTCCTTCCCTGCCAGCCTGCCCGCTGGCCATGAGCGCGGCAGCCCACAAAGCCAAGATGGGTTTGGGCTGAGCGAAGCCAGCTGGGCTGTGAAAGGACTGACAGCTCAGAGCTTGGCTTGGCCTCCATCCACAGAGAGATTTAGGAGTCAGGTTCCCTCCCATGTGCCTGGAGGGACCTAACAGCCTGGGAGGGTCCTACAGCCCTGGGCAGAGTCCTCCCTTGGCAGCAGCTTGGGAAATCCCAGCAGGGATGCGGAGGCAGCAGGAGGATTTATGCTGAGTGGGTATGGGTGGGGAGAGTTTAACTCCTCTGCGGAGGCTGCTTGCTGGAGGGGATGGGATGGGATGGGGCTCAGAGCCCTACTATCCGTGGTGATACCTGCTTCCTCTTTCAGGCAGAGATTGTCAAGAGGCTGAGTGCCATCTGCACCCAGATTATACCCTTTCTGACGCAGGAGGTAAGGGGAGAGGCAGGGTCTGTGCACCAGACTGCTCAGGCTTCTTCTCTCAAGGCCCTTGGGAAGGGACGAACCTGAGTCCAGCCTGAACAACGGGAGGTTCGGGAGGGGAAAACCTCTGTACCTGGGCTGGAGGGATGGGAGAGGGGGCTGCGCAGCCCCGGGTGGCTGGTGCAGTGTTGGGCCATGTGGTCCCTCCGGCCAGGAGCACGGTGTGACCTCTTCATGCTCTTCCTTCCCAGCACCAGCAGCAGGTCGTTCAGGCTGTGGAGCGGGCCAAGCAGGTGACCATGGGGGAGCTGAACAGCATCGTCGGGGTGAGTCACGCTGCCCGGCCACATGCTCTTTCCTGCTCGGAGGTTCAGACCACGCAGTGCGGTGAGGGGGGAAGCTACTTCAATAAGCCCAGGGCTGGTCCCTTGTGGTGAGAGGGTTTGCCACTGTGTCCCGAAGGCGGTGGATGGCCTCTGGGATCCTCCCTGGCTCCTGCCGCCCTGAGCAGAGCAGGGCAGAGCCATGGCTTCGGAGGTGCTTGAGATGCCCTGGGTGGAAGGGGCAGGTGATGTGACCCAGACTGTGCAGCCTCGACAGCTCTGCTCCCCTCCTTGTCCTTGCGTTCCGTCTCATCCCATTCCGCTTTGCACCGCAGCTCACATGTGGAAAGCTGAGGGGTACCGGGCACGTCTGATCCCGAATTGAGGACCATTTGCTCTTTCTCTTCCAGCAGCAGCAGCTTCAGCACCTCTCCCACCACACATCCCTCATCCCACTGACACCCCACGCCTCCAGCATGCAGCCTTCCAGCCTGAGTGGGGTCAGCGGCGCCTCCGGGCTCCTGGCCCTCTCAGGAGCATTGATGGCACAGTCTCAGCTGGCTGCCAA